CTTCAGCCCGGCAGAAGATGTGCCGGCCGTGGGTAAGCACAGCCCGCTCCTCCCCAGCAGCACCAGGCTGGGCAGCCCTCACACCCCTCTGCCAAGCAGGGAGACACAGGGTCCTTTGCTCCTGGGAGGTTTGGTGTCTCCATGAGCTCATCCAGCCCCTCCTGAGTCCATCCCCACCCTCCCCGGGGTTTAATGCCAGAAGGGAAGCCAGGGGACACCAACATCCCCATGGAGAGACTCAGCAGGGCCCCAGCCCACAGTGCTGGACGTTTGCCCCTGCTTTGTGGGACCCTGCTGTCTGTGTCTGCCCCACAGGCTCCTCCACAGCCCTGGGCACCAAGGAGCTTGCCCTGGAGGGGAGGCCCGAGGAGAGGCAGCCCCCATGCCACGTGCTGGCCCGGAACCTCCTGTACCCGGGGTCCCACATTCTCCGCTTCCCTGTGCCCGACGAGAAGGTGCCCTGGGAGGTAGGAGCTGTGAACAGGGGCACTGGGGCTGGCAGGGGAAGGATTGAGGCACATCCTGGCAGTGGTGGGGAGAGGAGCCCATCATCCCACATTTGGGAGCTGTGGTTCTTCCCAGCCCTGGGAGGGACCCTTGGCTTCCTGGAGTCACTGCTTGAATGACCCCAGAGAAAAGGGCTGGGATCCATTCCTGCTGGGACCTGCAGTGCCTGAGGATGCTTGGTGGGACACAGGGGGTACAACCACCCACCTGTGCATTTCCTGAAGCATGTCTGGTCAGGGGCAGGGACAGGATCCAGTACTGGCCTCCATGGTGGTGTGAGCCCTCCAGCCAGGAGTCTGAGCTCAGCCCCCAGCAGAGCCTGGAGCATCACCTGGGGGGCACCCCACGAGCTGGGCAGAGGAAGACACTGCACCCTGAGGTGTCCCTGGGGTCCCAGGGGGACTGACAAACTGGGGGCTGACCCAGCCATGTGTCATGCAGGTGGATTTCCCGCTCTACGACCCCCCTTCCTACTCGGCTGAGCACAAGGACATGGCAGTGCAGGACCCCTTCAGCCTGTGAGTGTCCCCCCAGGGCTCCCCAGCCCTCCTCCCTGCCCTGGTGGCACAGCCAGCCCTCCCAGCCCGGCTGCCTCCCACCCTGCAGCTCCTTGGAGTCTCTGCTCAAGATCAACTACAACACCATGGACGGGCTGATCGACCGGCAGAGCTTCCACGGGCTGTACACCGTGCAGGATGGGCTGCCACTGTGAGTGCCACTGTCACTGTGCCACTGTGAGTGCCACTGCCCCTGTGAGAGCCACTGTGAGTGCCACTGTCAGTGTGAGTGTCACTGTCACTGTGAGTGCCACCCCCATGGCAGCCACCTGGCAGGACAAGCACGGGCACACAGAGAGGCCAGGGCTGCCTGGGCACATCCATCCCATCCCCACTGTCCTATGGGGCAGGGATAACTGCATGCACCATCCTTAGGGCTGACCCCCAAAAACACCCCCAAAATGTGGGATGCAGGGGTAGGGGAGATTCTGGGGTGCCCAGAGTGAGCCCTCACTGTCACCCTGCAGGAACCCCATGGGCAGGACGGGGCTGAGAGGCCGTGGGAGGCTGCACTGCTTCGGGCCCAACCATGCCCTGCACCCCGTGGTGACCCGGTGAGTGTGGGGTAGGGATGGGGGGTGGAAAAGGGGCCGTGGGGTCACCCCAGAGACCTGGCCAAACCCCAACACTGCTGGGCAGAGGGGAGCCACAGCTGCAGCGTGACAGGGGCCTCTCCCACAGCTGGAGGAGGAACCTGGATGGGTCCATCATAAGGAAGAGCCTGAAGAAGATGCTGGAAGTGCTGGTGGCACAATACCCCCTGTCAGATGTGTGGGCACTGCCTGGGGTGAGAAGAAGGGAAGGGAAGGGAAGGGAAGGGAAGGGAAGGGAAGGGAAGGGAAG